TAAGATGACAGAATATATATTCACTGATTGTGGATAGGTACTTTGGAGACAAAAATAAATAGAATATGTTTTTCACATTCATGGATCTTTAATTCTACTTAAAAATATATTACAAATGCAAATATAAGACAATAAAGTTTAATATGAATGACATGAAAAGAATCAAAGAGGCCTTAAGAAGATTGACAATGAGATGGGTGGTTTGTCATATTCTTTTGAAGCAGAATGTTTTTCTACAATGGGTATAAATAAGATTCCCAATACTTTATATTTACGAAAAACAAAATATCTTTTCTGAAGAAGTGTTCTTATTGGAAAAGACAGGCGCCACAAAGCTGAGGCTCCATGACTAATGGCCAGCATCACAGACCTTCTTGATTAGCACTTAATAAGTCTGTGAAGCACAGATCTAAGAGATATATAAGCTGAAAAGAAGCTTATGTCTCTGTGGGTCACAGTGTAGTGGGAGATTTTCTTTCATTTTAAGTATAAATAGCTAGTTCAAAAGGCATATAAACTTCCAAAGAAAGTTTAACATAGAAAATTTTAGAAAACATGTGACACTGTTGAAATAGTTCTTTGAAGAATAAGTGGCAAGTTCAGAAGAATGAGATAATGAGAACGTTAAAGACGGAGAACCATCTGAGCCAAGTTGAGGTCACAAATAAGAATAAAAACACTGACATATGGCCTAGCCTGCAATGTCGCATATGGCTCGATTATTTAAATTAATAAACTTTAAACTAAATTTAAAATTTAACTCTGCCTAGCACTAGACATATTTCAAGTTCTCAATAGTCACATGTGATGAAGGACTGGTGTACTGGAAAATATATAATACAGTTCTGTCATAGATGAAAACTACTTTATTTATTTATTTCTTTAGTAAAGGTCTACAGGGTGTACAGGATCTCCCTATGTAGATCAGTCTCGTAGTGATTCTCCAGTTTTCAGCCTCCCTAAGAGCTGGGATTACAGGCACTCACCACCACAACCAATCTCTTATCTTACTTTATTTTATTTTTTTTGTATTTTAATAATTGTATTGAGAGAGAAGAAGCAGTGAGATAGTTTCAGAACAGATTAGTAGTACAGTTACAATAATTAACACATTGCATATTATTGTCATTCTAGTAATTCCTAGTACAAGATGCAGACATGATATCTTGTCAAAACACTATTAGCTTAAAACCTTCTTCTCATTGAACTAAGAGAAAGTAGCTGTATATTTATACTATTTTGCTTATACAGATACATATATATTTTTTCCACTACAAAATAGTTCATTTATTTCCCCCTTTTTTTGTTTATGTTTGCCCGTCACCTGAGGAATGGATGACAATGACGAGATATTTTTATACAAGTGGATGCCACTTGAAAATATACTCTTAAGTGAAATAAACCAGACCCCCATGTGTAAATATTGTATAATCTCCCTAGTTTAAGAACTCAAAAGAAGAAATACAAATAGAAAGGTATAACACAATTAAAAGGAATGTGAGAACTGAAGAATTAAACAATGAAGAGAAGGCAAAGAGAAAAACTAGGAAACATGATGGGGCAAAGGCATACATTTATATGCACAAGATGGTTAAGGCAAAGATGCTGAGAATCTTCAGCAGGTTTTTGAAACTAGCAGATAATTGGTAGGATTTTCACCCTGACTAATAAAA